CGGACGCAGGCTATTTCCTAGACAGAGGAAGAGTAGGACCGACAAAAAACTAGGATGCCACCAGGGACAGGGTCACGCTGGTGAAGGCAGTCCTAAAACGACCCTCAAGGAAGTCAAGAGCGTAGGCACGCAGGACCTTAGACTTCGAACAAATGTCTTAGTAAACGGACATAGGATGACAGCGACCATAGATAGTGGTGCTGCACGAACAATGATCTCACCCCGAGTGGTGGAGAAATACGACATACCCCATCAGGCCAAGAAGGTGCCGATGCGAGTGGTATTAGCCGACGATAATCCCATGGCATACGGGAACGGCATGATCAGGCTAGAGACCAAGCTGGTGCCAATGGAATTGGCAGGCAGGAAAAGCCACGTGAAGATCAACATCATGGACCTCGGAGAGGAAGATATCCTCATAGGCTATGACTGGTTGTTAGAACACAACCCGGCCATCGATTGGCAAAAGAAAACAATACTTAGCCGAGAACCTGTGCACAAGGTTGCTGGAGTACGAAAAGAGACGAACCCGATTATCCAGAGCTCACCCAAGGACGGGAGGATAGGTACGATCTCACCACATAAGATCATGAGAATCTATGTGAAGGACCCTCAGAGAATAGGAGTCATTTGGTTAAAACGGGTCGCGACCACGAAGGAAGGACCAGTACCACAGTTGGCGATACCAACAGAATACCAGACGAACGAGTTTCAAGAACTGTTCGAGGAAAACGAAGCAACAGACTTAGCAGAACATCAGGACTGGGATCACGAGATCGTCCTCGAAGATGGAGCTAAGTTGAGCCTAGGAGGAATGTACCCTATAGCGCCCGAGCACGACGCTGAGCTACGGGATTACCTCCAAAAGAACTTGAAAAAGGGATTTATTAGACCAGGACATGGCCCGATGGCCTCTCCAATTCTGTTCGTAAAGAAGCCGAACGGAAAGTGGCGACTGTGTGTCGACTACCGGCGGTTGAACAATGTTACGGTCAAGAATCGGTACCCCTTACCACTTATAGGAGAGCTTATGGATTGACTCCAGGGAGCCAAGTGGTTTACAAAGTTCGATGTCCGCGAAGGATTCTATCGGATTAGAATCAAAGAAGGACACGAGTGGAAAACGGCCTTTAAGACAAAGTATGGACTGTACGAGTATACGGTTATGCCGTTCGGATTGACGAACGCGCCGGCGACCTTTCAGTCAGTCATCAACAAGGCGCTCCACGAATACCTAGGAATCTTCGTTACGGCCTACCTAGATGATGTACTGGTGTACACCAACGGCACGCTAGAAGAACACGTCGAACAAGTCAAGAAGGTACTACGGAAGCTTAAGGAGTACAAGTTGTACTTACAGGCTAGCAAATGCGAATTCCATACGAAGGAAACCGAGTACTTGGGCTTTATCATCTCGACAGAGGGTGTTAAAATGAATCCAAAGAAAATCCAGACTGTACAGGAATGGCCAACCCCTAAAACAGTTAAGGATGTGCAATCCTTTCTAGGATTTGCGAACTTTTACTAAAAGTTCATCAGGAACTACTCCTGGATTGCGACCCCTCTTACGGAGATTACGAAAAAAGAAGTTGGGTTTAAATGGACTCAAGACTGCCAGGAAGCGTTCGAAACGCTCAAGCAGGCATTCTTGGAGGCACCCGTACTAGAGATGTACGACCCAAAACGGAAGACGCGAGTCGAAACCGACGCATCAGATTATGCACTCGGAGCTGTATTGTCACAGCAGTGCCCAGACGAGAAATGGAGACCAGTGTTCTACCATTCACGAAAGTTCTCAGGAGCAGAACTAAACTACGATGTTCACGATAAGGAACTACTTGGAGTAGTCGATGCCTTTGAACAGTGGGAAGTGCATTTGCTAGGCTTGCCCCACACGATCGAAGTGTTTTCCGATCACCAGAACTTGACGAGTTTCATGACGACTAAGAAACTCAACCGACGCCAAGTCCGATGGGCTGAGATGCTAGCCCAGTTCGACTTTAAGATAACCCACCGAGCCGGATCGCTCAATGGAGCAGCAGATGCCCTGAGCCGAAGATCCGACCTACGGGAAGAAGGTCATCAGGAACCACATGACGCAGTACTCAAGATGATGCCCGATGGCACCCTGAGGTACAATCAGCCGGACCTAGTAAGAGTAAAAGTTGTAGCTCACCAGGTCACGACACTTCAACAACAGTAGCAGCAAAAGGCTGCAGACTGGCAATTCGAGCCCGACGCTGAAGGCTCCGATGAATTGTTACAGAACGAGCGAGAGTACCGGGATATGATTTCGAAAGATCGAACATATGTACCTCCACACATGAGATTGAGTCTCATTCAGGAACTGCACGAGTCCCTGGAATATGGACATGCAGGAGTAGAAGAAATGGTCAGAAGACTGGCTAAGGTATTTGCAATACCACGCTTGCGAGCGACGGTGCAGGATATCCTAGGCAACTGTTTGGCATGTCACTAGAACAAGCCCAAGAGACATAAGCCCTACGGCCTGTTACAACCCTTACAGCCACCAACGAGACCATGGAGCAGTGTCACGATGGACTTCATCGTAAAGCTCCCGAAATCACGAGAACCAGGATCTGAACGACTCTGCGACACCATCCTAGTAATCGTAGATCGATTGACTAAGGCAGCAAAGTTTATTCCAACAGAAGAGACTATTACGGCAGAGGAATGCGCGTACGAAGTCACCAAAGCACTCGTGTCGGAACACGGAGTACCGGAAGAACTTATCACAGATAGAGACAAGCTGTTCACATCTCTATACTGGACAACGTTCCTAGCAAAATTGGGCGTCAAGAGAAAGCTTTCGACAAGCTTCCACCCGGAAACAGACGGCCAGACGGAACGAACGAACCAAACCTTGGAACAGTACCTACGGATGTATGTCAATAAGTGGCAAGACAACTAGGTAGAACTGTTGCCAACGGCGCAATTGGCATACAATAGCACAAAATCTGCAACGACAAGACAGTCGCCGCACTATGCAAATTACGGATATGAGCCTGTAGCTCATCGGGATCCGAAGGACATTGAAAGCATCGCGGTAGGAGCAAACGATAAAGCACGACTCATGCGAGAGTTGCATGAAGAGCTGAGCAAACGAATAGCTCGAAGGAACCTCACGGCATCCAATGCAGCAAATAAGCAAAGGATTGAGGGACCAACCTTTAAGGAGGGGGACAGAGTTTTCCTGTCAAGACAGAACCTGAAAACTAGAAGACCATGCAGAAAACTGGACAATCTCCGAGTAGGACCGTTAGAAATCCTAGAGAAGGTAGGGCCGGTAAATTATAAACTACGGCTACCACCAGGCATGAAGGTCCACCCCGTATTCCATAAAAAGCTTTTGGAACCAGCACCCCAAGACGCCGAACTAGCAGAAGACATCGAACTCGAAAACGACGAGTACATAGTCGAAGAAGTCAAGGACCTACGGAAAATCAGACGTCAGTGGAAATACTTAGTCAAGTGGCAAGGATGGCCAGATAGCCAGAACACTTGGGAACCAGAAGAAAATTTGACGAACTGCAAGTCACTGGTACGTGAGTACCATCGGAAGCATCCACGGAAACGAGAACCGGATTCTCGTAGGAAAGGAAGAAGTCTAGGGACAAATAATCAAAAGAAGGATCGTAGAAATCAGCCTGTAACCCGCCTAGATCAGCCGACGATTCGGATAGCGATGGTTCGACAACAGGAAGGCTCGTACCCCCAGGGGCTGAGCTCCCCTCGGCCTGCTCTTTCGCACGATCTTGGACAGCAATTATCGCAAGATCACGACGCGCGAAACCACGCTTCTTATTCTTCACCTCTAGAAGCTCACGACGCAAACGAGACGACTCAGCCGCAGCTAGGGCTTGACGCTCCTCAGCCTGGGCCAGCTCCAACTCTTTACGCTCACACTCAGCTTGGACTTCTTCCCACTCTTTCTCAGAAACAAACAAACTACACTCAGCACCAACCGAGATACACCCAGCACAACGCCCTGAAGACGTTTCCACGAAGCAGCGAAGCTTCTTCTCTTCACAGCGTTTGCACCGAAAATCCATTTCAACACCCTCCTGTTCTACTCGCGCAGCACGAGTACGCTTCTGTTCAGTCGAAGTCTGGGCACGGGGAGCACGGGGCTTTTGGACCTTGGGCATGGTTAGGAAGGCTGGAGTCAGGAAGGAACGGTTATAATGGCCCGGGGCCTACCGACCTTATATGCAGCCAGCGCTTCAACACGCGGCACGGCAAAATGATATTCCAGGGTATCGAGACGATAGCCCTAAGAGGGGAGGTAATGTTACAAGTAACAAGAAGGATTCTCTCCTTGACAAATGACGAGATGGCTGAAGGCCTATGGACGTCCACGTCAGAAGGTAATGATCATCGCGGGGCGAGGATCACGTGACTTGGCATCTCGCCGAGAGGTGACATCTTGCCAAGAGGACAGATGCCACAACACCGGGAGATGCCAGAACGTCTCGAACATCTCAAGATGCCAGGGCATTCAGGAGATGCCACAGATGTCAGGACTGGAAGCAATGAGGATATAAGGATGGATGGATTTCATTATTACTCTCGTTGTGGTCAACTCAAATTGTACTGTCTTACTAGTATCTTTACTTAACAAAATTGTTACTTGTTAATCTATAGCAATATAGATTAGATTTGTTAATTAACCTTTAGTTAACTCCTATAACTCTTTTCCACCAAGAACATACGGCAAAATCCCACGGAGCTGATCCCGTAAAGGCTCGCTCGCCCTAACCCGGAACGAGATTAGAGAAGTATCAGCAATCCAC